AGGTCGAGATCTATAGCGGCATTTTTGGAACAAACGCCGCAATAGATCGATATCTATAGCGGCATTTTTGGAACAAACACCGTAAATGTCAGATCTATAGCGATGTTTTTGAAATAAACGCCACAAAAGGTTAGATCTATAGTGGCGTTTTTTGATATAAACGCCGCTAATGACCGTTCTTTAGGTAATATTAATTGATTTTGCATATTCCATTTTTGCTATACATCACCTAAATTTAATATCATGTAATCTAATTAACAACAACCATAAATTTTAATTAAGATACAAATTATGCCGAAAAATACTTAACAACAAAATAAATTAAAATTTATAAACACTAGAATTAAATGTAATGTAGTTTGACATTGTTCTCTAGAATTTAATCTAGGTTCTTTCACTTTAAATTAAAAAAAATAGTTTTCCTTGTTTGATGAAGCATCGTTAGGTTTTTCCTCCTTGTAAACTGTATATGGAGAACCTCTTCATCCATTTCACCAAATATATCCCCTAGCTCCGGTTCACCAAGAAGACTCCTTGCACGCTTAAATGCTTCACTTGAAACAGATAACGACCTTCCACCTACAGTATGTAACTTGATTGGAGGTGGCTTGGGAATTGAATCAAATAGTAAACAAAAAAATCAAAGTAAAAAAGAGAAGCGTTTACTTGGAGTAACAGTAGAGGCACCGTCTTCTTCATCGAGGATACATAATGCTTTTGCAATTGAAGATTCTTTCAATGCCATAGATTTCCCCAATCCGGTTCTAAACATCGGGTATTTATCCACTTCTCTATCATCGTTCTCAATAATCTTCAAACATCCTGTGTACGATCTATGAAATTTGAGAGTACAAAATAAAAATATAGCGGCGGAAAAATTCAAAGATTATTACCTTGAAGTAGGAGATCGACCATGGAAGGGTATGGAGCAATAGGAGTTCCTTTCGGGTCATCATAGGGTTTCGACGGCAAGAACGGACCGGAATCCTCCCAACGATAATTTGATCCGGCGTCAGAGAAAATACGCCACGTGGACATTCTGACGATTTTGCTTAGGGATTGTGGATTAAATTTTTTAAAGTTTTATCCACAATCAATTTCTCTTACTCTGCCCATACATATGGGTGATCGAGTTTATAAATCTTCTCTTATATACCTCATTGTTTCAATTAAAGAGCAGCACAAAAAACGCGCATTTGAAATGAAGTAAACAAAGGAAATAAAGTAACTCAGAGGATATATAAATCTTCTCTTATATACCTCATTGTTTCAGTTAAAGAGCAGCACAAAAAACGCGCATTTCAAATGAAGTAAACAAAGGAAATAAAGTAACTCAGAGGTTATATATCCTTAGTTAAGGCTACTTTAACTAATCACTTAAAGTAACAAGTAATATTAATAGTATAAAAAACAAAATTGATGTTAAGAAACATAAATAGACTAATGATCTCACTTAGACTCCAAGTCTTAACATTGCAGAAAACCAACAAGATGGAGAGATGCAAATAAAATATCTTGTTTTCAAGGAATAATAATTCTGTTTGACAGGAAAAGTGAGTGCAGTGTACCTTGGTGCCTGCTAATTGTTCTTTAAAACTGTATGTGAATTGAAGGACCACTTTGCAGGCTGAAATATAAAGAATGCAAAATACAAAATAAAGGGGGATTATTAATAAAATATTGCAAAGAGAAATAATCTCCTTCTATCAATATGTTCAAATTGACATTCCATTTTATGAAACAACGTGATACAAGTCTACGAAACTCGAACATACATGCTTAAGTTACATTTCACATCAAGTTGCAAGTATAAATGGTTGATCATCATACATACAGGTGCCAAATAAAGATTCAAACTTTGTATGTCATACTCAGGTGAATAGGGACTATTTGCGATATCCCTCAGAGTTTTGACCAAACCTTCAATACAGTTCTGCATTGATGATAAAAGAAGCTATTATCTTTTCACATGTATAGAAAATAATAATATAATATTATCAGGAAGCGAGGAAATCAATATTCAAAAGAAATTCTACTCATTACAGCTTCTTTTCATAGTCACAGCTCTTGTTAGGTAGAGAGTTACATTGAACTGAAAAAAATGTTAAAAAAGCCATAACCAATTACCTCTCTAAAATATTCAAGGGCTTCAGAACTGACTTTGCAAAGATCTGTACAAAGTTGAACTCCAGTTACTAGGACTCCATGATGTTTTTCTTTAAGTAGTGAAGCAGATACATAAAGTTTTCAACCAGGTCCAGAACTTTCTTTATGATCCGTATGGAGCACAGTGCTGCCTACAGAGAACAATTAGTCAAAGATTGCAGTCAGAGTGCTAAGAAATTAGAGAACCAAAAACCTAGGTGCATACTGAGAATCCATAAACAAAAGGCCAATTGACAGAAGGGAGAGAGAAAAGAACATTATGAAACCTGCTTAATCAAACCAATACAACAACAGAAATGTGAGTAATTTTAGATGAACCAATTTAGTACGTTATAAAAATGACTTCACAAAATGGCTGGAACCAAGCAATAAATGTATTTCCCTCAAATCATTAAACAATAAAGAGTTCAGACTCACGGTTTATCATATGTTGCCTTTTTTCCCTTGAGTGATTACATGCAGTAAAATCTTCTAGATAAGATAAATGGTCAAAAAAATATATAGATTTCATAAAAGTGCAAGCCATTCGAAGGTCGAGGAACATCATTAAATAAAATATCACACATTCATGAATTTGGAAAATAATTACATGTTACAACTCAGGTCTCAGTCATGAGACATGCAGTACATCCATAATGGGTTCACGAGGTGATTTTAACTTTTGTATTGACAAATTACAAGGCACTATCAATTTCTATAAACAAAACTGAGTGCTCAAAACCCATATAATGCTCCATCAAATTATCAGAATCTAACGACTGATATCCTTTGCAAAAGACAGTGAAAGTTTGGTCAGGATTCAATAAATGTTCCACAAAAAGCACATCTTATTCGAAGTAATTATGATGAAGTTATTGTAAGCTGTTATAACTAAATTCTGATTTCATTCCAAAAACTGAGTGTGGTGAAACTCATCGTGATAAGTACTGAAACCTGTATGAATTAGAAAACCATCATTCTTTAGTTTCAGAATGTATAACACTTCTAACATGATGAAATACTCTCACAAACAGTAAGAAGAACACAGTCCAGACAGTATGATCCCCAAATTCCAAGGTGTAGATGCCAATAATAAAAACTAGAAAACACAACATAATCACTCACAAATCATAATGATTCATTATGATTACTTTTCTGCAAAACTAAAGGCATAAACCAATTATATAAGAATAGTGGAAATACAAGGAAAACAAACATATCATAGAAACATAACACTAAGAACATAATAACTGTGAAAAAAAGGGGGGAACAATTTGAATGAACATTGTCAGCTATATGCAAAATAATTATAAATCACACTAACCTGAAAAACACTTCTAAAATTCTTAAACCATCAAAGAAAAGCCGAGTTCCAGGAAGCCATAGGTCATAAACTAAGAAAAAAAAACATTCTGCAACACACAGAACATATGCAGAAAATAACTGGGATTTGTACTGTAACAATAAAAATATACCCAAAAAAGAAATGAAGCTCTGTAAACCAGATTGAAGAAAAAAATAGATTGAACAACCAAAAACCAAATTGAAATAGAAAGCAAAAACCAAAAATCGCAGATATTGACGATGCTGAAGGTGAGGATGGCTGGCCTGACTCAGAACATTGAGGAGATCTTTATGGGCGTGACGGTGAAGGTCATGACGTTGTGAACGGTGACAGCAGCTTCGAGACTACTTGACGGCAAGAATACGGCAGCGTCGAGAAGATTGATGCAAGAATAATAGTTAGTGGCGGAGAAGATGTTGTACCAGAGAAGAGGGAAGATAGGGAAGAAGAGGGAAAATGAATTAGGGATCGGGCAGGAGAAAGGGGGAGATATAATTGTCCTTTCGCAGCGTTTACACGAAAAAATGCCACTAATGTACGTGATTTTGCGGCGTTTTAATTTAAAAAGCCAATATCGCACAAGTTTATAGCGGCGTTTTTACAAAAACGCCACTATATATCTGGGCTATTACATAAACGCCATTAAAGTACGCGTTTTTAGCGGCGTTTTCACAAAAAACGGCGCTATATATTCGGATATTGCGGCGTTTTTTACATAAATGCCACTAAAGTACGCATTTTTAGCGGCGTTTGCACAAAAACGCCATTATATATTTGGATATCGCGGCGTTTGTCCAAAAATGTCACTAAAGTACGTGATTTTAGCGGCTTTTTGTGAAAACGTCACTATATATTCAGATATTGCGGCGTTTTTTTACATAAATGTCACTAAAGTACACGTTTTTAGTGGCGTTTGCACAAAAACGCCACTATATATTTGGATATCGCGGCGTCTACATGTAAAAAATAAATGGCGTTTGTTGTAAAAACGCCGTTAAATCCACTGCTTAAATCTATTTTTGCTGTAGTGATAGTTAAGTGTAAAACAATAAAGGTAAAAGAATATATAAGTGGTGTTATTTATTGATTTTTTTAATAGAATATTTTAATGAGATAATTTTAAAATCTAAAAAAGAAAATTTAATAGAATAAAAGGAGTATTAATTTTATAAATTAAAAATCATAAATACAACTTAAAAAGATAGCATGCATTTAACTTTACACCTGTTTTATCATTGCCAAAATCACATAAATCCAAGAAAAAAAAACCGCATGTACTTATCCAGCATTAAATTCTATACCAAAAAAAATCTTATTGATGGATATGAAAATCCAAAATTTATGGTAATGGATTCTTAATAATAAGCTGCAACGCTGTCACTTGCCATATTATCTGGAAGAACACAATGACTGGGTAAGTTCCACTTACCCTATTATATGTGAACATCGGCCAGTTCCTCGAATATTTGCAAACTTTAGGAAACCTCCAGCAGTCAAACCTAGTTTTTCCATGGAAAATACTACTTCAAACAGTGTTTTGTTTTCTTCTCTTTCATGGGGTTTGCATGAATTTGCTGCCTCCAGCTTTGTTTCTGTTCAGTCAACACTTCTGGTTTTGTGTCTCTTTGTTTCGCTTTTTATCGTCAAAGCAAAGGGAAGAACCAGGGGGATTAACAAACAAAAACCTGCTCTCCCTCCTGGCCCAACTCCTTGGCCGATTATTGGGAACATTCCCGAGATTTTTAGTCGGAAAAATAAGCCAAATTTCCGGTGGATTCATGGACTTATGAAGGAACTCAACACTGATATTGCTTGCATCAAGCTCGCCAGCACTCACGTCATTCCCGTCACTTCACCTGAGATTGCTCGAGAATTCTTGAGAAAATACGATTCCGTTTTCGCTTCGAGGCCGATTACGATGGCAACCGAGTATAGTAGCCGAGGGTTCTTGACCATAGCCGTGGTTCCACTTGGAGATCAATGGAGGAAAATGAGGAAAGTGGTGGCTTCTGAGATGGTTACCCCGGCAAGACTTCGTTGGTTACTAGGGAAGCGCAACGAAGAAGCCGATAATCTTGTTAGGTTCATATACAACCAATGCGAGAGCAATGGCGGCTCATCGGCAGTCATAGATATGAGGCTTGCAATTAGGCAATACACTGGGAATGTTATCAGGAAGATGATGTTCAACCGACGAAACTTTGGGGAAGGTCGAAAAGATGGAGGCCCTGGACGAGAAGAAGTAGAACATGTTGAATCATTATTTACGGTGCTCAATCACCTTTACTCTTTCGCCTTATCAGATTATATACCCTGGTTGAGACCGTTGGATCTTGAGGGTCATGAAAAGATTGTAAGTGAAGCAATGAGAATCATCAGCGGCTACAATGATCCTATAGTTAATGAAAGAGTGAAAGAGTGGAAAGATGGGAAGAGGAAGGAGCCTGAAGATTTACTTGATGCACTCATTTTAGCCAAGGATGTAGAAGGAAAACCAGTGCTTTCAGTCGAAGAAATCAAAGCTCAATGCACTGTAAGTCTGTAACACCTTTGTATCATGTGTTCTTTTTCATGTACGGTTGAATTCTTTGCTTTTAACCCATTGTATACGTTCGTGTTCGTTTGTTTACGCAGGAAATAATGTTTGCCACGGTGGACAATCCCGCGAATGCGGTTGAATGGGCAATGGCGGAGATGCTGAACCGACCGGAAATTATCCGTAAAGCAACGGAGGAAATAGAAAGAGTGGTCGGAAACCAGAGGTGGGTTCAAGAATCCGATATTCCAAGACTCAACTACGTGAAGGCATGTGCGAGGGAATCACTTCGGCTTCACCCCGTTGCACCTTTCAACTTACCCCATGTCTCGAACGCCGACTGCGTGGTTGCCGGCTACTTCATCCCCAAAGGCAGCCATGTTTTGCTCAGTCGAATCGGCCTAGGCCGGAACCCCAAGGTTTGGGACAAACCGTTGGTGTTCGAACCCGAACGACACTTTAAAGACGGAGGCTCCGATGAAGAAATTGATCTGACAGAGACGGAACTGAAGTTCTTATCGTTTAGTACGGGGAGACGTGCGTGCATGGGAGTGGCTCTTGGGAGTGCGATGACGGTGATGCTGTTGGCCAGGCTGGTTCAAGGGTTTTCATGGAGGGTGCCACCGAATGAGGCTGAAATCGATCTGTCAGAGTCCAAAAATGATCTTTTCTTGGCCAAACCTTTGCATGCAATGGCTACACCTCGCTTGCCTGCATATGAACTCTATTCGCCCTATTAACCATCATTATCATTGATGAAAAGCTTCTTTATGTATGCACATGAAATTATATACCATATGCATGACATATTTGATTCTTAATAAAATGTTGGCTTAGTGACCGTGCAAGTAATTTCATTCCTCATTTAGAAAATTAATTATTATCTTTAAACATTTTAAATTTAAATAGAACGTTTGTAAGAATATTTAAATAATTATTATAAATAAATATTATCTTATTAATAAAAATAATTATTTATTATATGTATACATTATTTTTATGATTAATATTAAAATTTTAATTAACACTAGTGTTATAAGATAATTTAACGTCGATTAGGATGAAATATCAAAATTGTAATAAATATATTATTCTAATAACTTTATATAACTTTAATTTTAAATAAATGATTCAATTTTTTAATTTAATACTTGGATATAATACTAATAAATTTATATATATATATATATATATATATATATATATCCTCTTTTTCCGTCACATTTTTATTTATTTTTTAATATTTTTTTTATAAAATATTTTTATCTGATATCATTGAATAAGATATTAATATATGCTTTCTTTTACAAGTGCCTATCTCAAAAATCTTAAATAATGTACGAAAATAAATAAGAGTAAGTTATAATAATGGACCTTTCCAATTCAGATTTGCTTATTTTTTTCATTGATTTTAAAAAAATTATATTTTAATCATTTATGTTATCGATTTTATTATATTTTGATTCCTTACTATATGTAATATTTTGATCATTAACTTTCGTTAATTTGATGCATGATATATTAGTAAAATATGTTAATTTTTAATTGAACCTTTACATTTTAGTTAGAATATTAATTTGACCCTTAAATTTTAGATAAAATGTCATTTTAACTCATAAACTTTAGATAAAATATCAATTTGACCCCTGAATTTAATCAAAGTCTTCCGCTATCAACCTCACTCACCACAATTGTCAGCACCATTGGTCACCACCAACCATTGTAGTTAACAATTGTTGGATCCTAAAATTTTCGATGCTATCTTTTTTTACCTCTTGAACACGAATCCAAAAAATCATCGCATACTTAACAAATCTAACCAAGATTCCATCAATTTTCTCATAAATTAAACCATAACAATAATTTTATCATCGGTATTTCTTTAAAAATAAAGACAAAAAAAACTAAATCGATATCATAATTAAACTCATAAATTTTTTTATTTATAATATTGTTATATTATAATTTTTACTACAATATTAATTGAAAATTTTAAATATTTACAAATTTAAAATTATACATTTATAGTGTTTATAATTATAATATAAATTAAGCATATTAATTATATTTAGAAGAGTCCATACCTTTAATCACTTGTTTTAAATTTCCTCAGCTATTTTTTTTATTTATCTCGATGAATTTGAAGTCCAGATTTCACTTAAAAGATTGCTACGTATACGTTATTTTGTTAAATTAGTTTCTTTATTAAAATTATATCATTCAATGATAAAGGACAGATTCCAAAAGTGTGTACAATGAATCGCATATAATCTATAGAAGATATAGCACCAAAAAATGACATTTTAGATTTTATTTCTGTATCAGAACTATATAAAGGCTCCGGCTGGTATCAGAAGTTCACAACCCAGTCAGGCTTTATCTAACTAACAAAACCTATTAGTTTGCAGTTGATGCATATTGATGTTTCTAGGACAGCTTAAGACAATTCAATCTAAGCTAGGAGTACATCCTCCTTTGACAACATGAAACGGCATGTCGAATAAATGGAAGCAGCAGCAGCACCGATGGCCAATTCCCTATCAAAACTATCACTGACCCCCGATCTGCACGAGAACATGACTATCGTGAAAAGGTCGACATCAAGAGCGAAGAAAAAAGTAAAAAGACTGTTTTTAAATCCATAGCTCAAGAGCAAAGTTTTACAGACTAGGGTCATGAATAAAGCAACAAAAAGTTCAACAGATTCAGTTTTCAGGGTGAAAATTAGTGGTCAATAAGCAGTTCCAATGGATGGATATTAAAAAAAGCAGAGCATGTAGGACTATCATAATAACAAAATAAGATCAAAGCTATGCTCTAACCTGAGATTATTTGCTGATGCTCCTAGTTGTGGGAAACCATATAGCACATTCCATTTCATTTGGTGCAAACCCTGATCACAATGCAGTTGCATCCCTTTTATTTGGTTAGACCAGCTTTCCTGGAATGCAAGTGGGAAAATGAGAAAGATTAAGAAATACCCTTGTTTCTAAACATAAAGATTCTACTTAAAAAAAAGAAATAAGTTGAGAAGAAAATAATTAACTTGAAGAGGTAAAACTCAATCAAGTAGCATACAGCAACCCTATTGACATGGAATTATCGATAAAAAGAATACCGAGGTTTAAATTAGACTGCATATGTCCCTTGACTGCCAAACTAACACTCGAGACAGTAAAAATGACAAGTTTTTTATGCAGCTTACTAGTTGTTTCTCTTCTTCAGAAAGAGCTTTTCCCATCCGATCAAACAGTGAAATCCATCTTACTTGATGCATCTCAGCAGCAGCAGCAGCAGCAGCATGTGAAAATCCATCAGCAGAATTTCTTTTGATATTGGGATCGCTCCCTTGGCTAGAGGAGAATTCTTTTGATATTAAGAAAGGTAGCTCTGTTGTAATTACAGCTTCCACTCTCTTCTTGCTACGTCGCAGTGCTGCAAATGCAGAGCATAGTACAACAAAAAAAGAGTATATATGGTCATGTCCCACTCTAAAGTCTAAACATCTAATGGTGAATTGAGTGAAAGAAAAATACCTGAAAGACGTCCTTTAATATCTTGGTAAAGAAGTTCCAACCACTCAGATGCAACAGTTGCAGCTGAAAACAATGTCTCATGTATATTAGTTTGGTCATTCTTTTTTCCATTAATCACCAGAAAAAAAAATTAATCATACATAGAAATGAATCTAGTGGATTCCAGATAGTTTTCCTGTACAGACTACAATAATCATAGGATGTCTGTATGTTGCTCAGTTGCCATTTTTTCTCATGAACAAGTATGAATATGTTAAAGAATAAGTTCTCTATGGACCGTAACCGATACAAATTCTCACCTTTTACAGAAAGAGAAGAGGCACAGGTAATGTTTGCTGATTCATCATTAGAAAAAGAGCTAATAGCATTTCTAGTTTCAGATGCCTTAGTTGATGATGACAACCTCAATGTGAGTGCATCATCCTCACTGACTGGGTCTAGCATGCTTGATTCACCATCTCCACTTCTTTTTCTAATATTGAGGAAACTGGCTTATGCATTGGCACTAGATAACCTCTTGCTTTATTGCTCATAGATGCAATATTAGGAGGCTCATTTTCATGGTAACAACCGAGTCCATGGAATCCCGAATAGCTCATATTTCCATGATCCTTCCTACCATCTTCATCTTTAGTTTCTCTTCGGACATGACGCATCGGTTTGCTTTGCGAATGCAAATTTTCAAGTTTTTCAGACTTCAGTAAGGCCTCCATTATGGAATGGACCTGTTTCCTATTTCTAACATGATTTATAATCCCAGGGTTCAATCCATTTAGGATTCCACTTGGAGAAGCAATCTTTGTGAACCTATCAACCTGTTCTTTCCTTGCAAGTTCCATCCTTTTCTTGAGCACATCATTCTTGCTTTCCCTCCCACGTTGCTTCGGCACCGGTATTCCGCCACGAGAAGATGACAATACACCACTTAGCATTGATATACCTCCATGAGAAGATGAAAGAAAACCATTTTGTTTCATCTCCTTCCAAACTCTTAATGAGTCTTTCTCCCCCACTGGAACAATAGAACATCCACCATCAGAAACATCCCTTGGCTTCGAATTTTCAAGGTGTTTGTGATGAATTGATTCATGGTTTATAAAGCTAGAAACATCTTCCACATTCAGATCCAAGCCAATTCCATTTGAGGTTACACAATGACTCTCTTGTGAACACAGATTGTCAGTGTTTTCTTTGCATTTCGGATTGGTATCAGAGAATTCATTGAAAGCAATGCAAATATCAGTGTTGAGATCAAGAGGAAGAGAGACAGGATGGACTTCGGTAACTTGAGATACCTCCTCTTCTCCACTGAACTGCAATCCGTGACTAGATTCTTTTCTTTTTAAGGATTTATAATTGTGGGTATTGATTTCTGTTCCATAAACAAAACGAAACCAAAAAAAAATTAAAAAAAATTATGTATTTATTTTTTATAGAAAAGGGGGGTAAAAGGCATAAATGAGGCTGCCAACACAATTATCAGCTGTAATTTACACAGCAAAAATAAATAAACAATGTTTAAAAAAGATTAATTTACCAATAATTTAACTAAACCCCTAAAGAAAAAGGCATAAAAAATTACCTTCAGAGCAAAGGTCAGAATTAAGATCTATCGTTTTGATTATCTTGGGTGAAATTTCATGTCTTTCCTTCAAATCATCAATGCTCCTCTTCACTCGCACCAGCTACGAGATACAATCCAAAACCAAGAAAGTTAACAAAAAAAAACATTTTGAAGGAACAATTAAAGGAAGAAGAAGCTAACGCGGGAATCAGATTCAGGCAACAATACCAAGCCCTTGGCAGGATCAGCTTCATCTTCCATTTCAAATTTCAAAACTTGGCAATGGGGGTTGAAAGAGAAAGAAAGAAGAAAGGCTCTGAAATAGAAGTTTTGCTGAAAAGGGTATTTGAAAATTTTGAAGGCTAAAAGTTGAGGGATGGATTTGAACTTGCAGGAAAGAAAGAAACAAAATGAAAAGCGCTTTTTTTTTTTTTTGTCCCTTTTAGGGGATTGCCAGAGGGTTTTATATCTGCAACTGTGTTACGTGGGATTTTGTATTGGATAATCTACGTATTTTATCACTCAACAATCACTTTAGTTTCGTTTTCGTCATTAGATTACTATTTTCTCAAAATCATTTCTAAAGTTATGTGTTATATTTGTTACCTCCTTTAAAAAAATTAACAGGTAATATCACGTCATCATTGAAAAAATAAAATTTGTTATTTAATGATGGTTGATCATTAGGTGTAAATTTTAAAGAAAAAGAATTAGGTTAACAGAACAGAATAACAGTGATAGTTGGGTGACTATATATATAGTTTACTCTTTTATATTTTTAAAAAGTAAATATAATTTACAATTGAATACTCTAAATTAATTCCTCAGGTTTAAACACAATATTAATTACTTATATTCTGCTTCTGTTTCTTGGAAGTTCTCCTGCTACAGCCAACATCTGTGGAGCTGTGAGAAAGCAGTTTCCTTGAAACTCTTAACCCTAACCAAGCAAAAATGGGTGCACCTTGACCCGAGCCCTGAATCCACTCTACTAGTCTTCAACAGATAACATAGTGGACTAGCAGCTCCAATGCCCTGAACCACTATTCCCCATACACTCGAACCCGAGACCTCCTCGTGTTGTTCTATTTGTTCGACGAAAATCAACCCATCGGGCATTGGACTCTCTCCGTTCTCCCACTTTTGTTTAACCAGAGCCCACTTATCTTCCTCCGCCTTCTCCGTCCTCGTTTCCGTGGTGTTATTCTTTACGTCCAAGAAGACGTGGACCAAGAGGGGAGATTCCGGCAACTTCTTCACGATCTCCGCCACCGAAACTCTCATCCACTCGTCTATTTTCTCGTACAACAAGTCGTTGCGCTTCTTCTTTTCTTGTTTCGCCAATGGTTGAAGACTTATAATCATAGACGACGACTCCGACGGCTGCATCTTGGATTTTATTGGTTTCGAGTTCGATGGTGGTTGTGGATTTGAGAACATGAAACGACGAGGACGAACGTTTGGTTTGTGGAAGTTGAAAAGATTGAAAGAATCATGGCGCTTTAGGTAAGCGTCTCCGCCGCAACAAACACCGCTCGCCGCCTGCATTATTGTTTTTCTGGCCCCCTCGGAAAATTGATTTACGATGCCCGAGAAATCGAAGAAGAAGAAGAAGGGGTTTTAAGGATCGATAAATGTTTATCTTTAGCCTTCCAAGAAGCCATAAAAGATTAAACATTTATAAATTATGGTGTTTTATTTTGTTTAGATCTCTTTACTTATTTTTCAATACAAAACAGGTTGTCCACGAGGAATTGTCGGCGAATCATGTCCGTTGAGGAATAATCTGACGGTGGAAAGTGTGGAATAAATGCAACAATTTGTTATGGCGGGAAAAGCACGTGGTTGCATGCAGAGTGTACGCGCCTCACACGCTCGGCTCATTTATCACGCAAACCTTTTCTAAAATTTGCAACGTGGGTTTTCCACGTCACCGTTAAGAAAAACGCATGATTTATAAGAGTAGGCTGTTATTAAGCAAGACAAGGATTATTTTACTAAAATACACTCTCTTAAATTACCATAATGCCAAGAATCAGTCTAACTTAATGGTTAAAGATTGAGGGTTACTTTTAGAGTTTTTAGGTTTAGGTTGAAGCACTAGTTTATGCAAATAGATTTGCTTAAGCGTGTTTGTTATTAAATAATTTTATAATTTTTTAAATATATAATACATTATAATCACTTTAGTTTAATAAAAAAAATACATTAATATGTATATTATTATTATTTATCTTTTAATCAATAAAAATTAAATGTTAATCATTATAATGTTGATGTAATGATTCATAACGTTAACATGATGGTTCATCATGTTGATATATCAATCCACGGTAATTGTTGACAGAAAAAGTGAATTAAATTAATTTTTTTGATCAAATTTAAGGGTGAGAATAACTATTTTAAATAAAAATTATTTTAAATTAAAGTTTAAAATATTTAAATATATATATATATATATAAGATTTAAATTATTAAAAATACTATTAAAAATAAAAAAATATCATAAACTATAAAATTATAAATTATTAAAAATATTTTAAGATAATATATATTATATATAATATACATACATGTAACATATGAACACAAAGGTAACTTAATCATATTCATATAGCCAAATTAATAAAATAAAATATTTTTAATTTCATATATATATCAATCATCACTAGAGATGTTATACACTTTTATGCCATTTATGTATACATACTAAACACGATTTTATTAGTATATACATATATCAACACTTATACAAATAATTTTTATCAGTTTAATCAATACTTATAAATTTTGTATCTAAAATAATTTAAAAATATTATAAGTTATTTATACTAATATCACATCTAATAATATATTGAATAAATAAAAAACATTATTTATAATTTTTTATACATCATATAATAAATTAGTATATAAAACAACCGTTACATATTAGTAAGTTGTTTGAAATTACATCTGATTTTAGTATTTGACATGCAATTACCTTTACCAAATATGTTTCTAAATATTTTTGTATCATAAAAATATTTTTAGATCCCTGCTATGTGAAAGAAAAGAGTGAGGCACATGGAGATCACGTAGGCAAAGCCATCATCTTTGAGGTCCACATATCATATGATTGGACCGGTAAAATTCTACAGACACCTTTAATATACAATTTAAAAAACCGTTATCGATTTTGTTATTATTTAAATAACAAAATCTGTAAAAAATTACTTAAAAAATTATTATTTCTACCTAAAACATCAATGTTTTTTAATATTTCCGGTAAAGTACCCAACAATAACAAAAACGATAGAAAAAATAACAAAACTGATAGAAATATTAATATTTCTGGTAATTTTTACCGGTTTTGTTATTTAAATAATAACAAAACTGGAACATCTGTTTTTAATAATATATTAAGACTATCACACATGATCATTTATCGATCCGACCAGTCTAAAAAGGTATGGTTTTTAGCATTAATGAGTTTATAATTAAATAATTAATTATGGCCCTCTAAAGTCTCAACTACTCTCACCATAATCTCAACACCTTTTTTTTAGGTGAAAAGCTAAGCAAAACCAATCAATTGAATCAACATTCAACATGTTACATAAGTTACCTTTTTAAGCAAAACGAGATTGATAAAATTAGGAGAGAACAAAATTTGTTTTTTTACGTTGATCAAGTGATTTTAGTGATTAAAAGTATAATTGTAATTATTAAAAGTTTCGGATTCGAGTATATCGTTTGTAGGGGTGTTCGAATGTTTATTGTCAAATGATTGAGAATATTTTAAATATATACTACCCTTGTAATCACCACAAACTAATTAAAAAATAAAATTATAAATATATTTTATAATTTTAGATGATATTTGATTTATTTAATAATATTGTAATGGTAAAATAAGTATGAATAATATATATATATATATATATATATATATATATATATATGTATATCTTATATTATTAGAGAAAGTAGTTAAATTAGAACAATCTACACCCTAACATTACAATTTATTTATAGTTAAATTTGAACAAAAAAATAAAAAATTCAATTTGATTCGACTCGAATTTTATAAACTCAAACTCAACTTTTTAAAATATAGTTTGAATCCTAAAATATGACTTATCGACTCGATTACTAAAAATTTATTGACTTAACTTAATTTGAGAATTATTTTTCAGATATGATATTAAAATAAGAATTCCACATGAATTTCATGTTAAAATCTTTTTTTATAAATTTTAAATTTAATCTTAATCCTACTTAGACAGGAAGGGAAGAGGAACTATAGGTGATATAATTGTCGAAGCCCTGCAAAGTTAAAAAATTTGATTTGACAAAACTAAATTGTTCTAATAGTGAGATCAGGTCAAATTCCAAGAGAACTAAAATTAGAATCTCAATGTTTAAGCAATAAAAGTAAAATGGAAGGGGATTTGGTTTATCAAACTAAAATCAAGAAATAGAACTAAAAATAAAAATAACTAAAGTCAATTCTTATCGAACTTTCAATTCAAAGGTGTGTTCTTCGTCCGACTGTAATTTTGATCATAGGCTAAAAGATCGATTTTCAATATCCAAGTAATTAGTCACTTGCTCAAAATCGCAATAAGTATAGTTCGCCTTTTATAATTGATTAGCATAGTTATTTGCAAAAAGCATACAAATCAAATCTTATCATTAAACAACTCGACATATGTAACACACCCAACCCATATCCGACCCGGATCCGAGTCCGATGTGTCACATTGACTTTTCAAATATTTTCCTTTATAAAATGACATAAAATTCAAATTCATAATTCAAGAAAATGATTACTTTTCATTTATTAAAAGCATTTGTTTTTAAAAAATATATTAGAGCTTATAAAACTTAAATCTTTAGACTACATGCCAACTACACTCTATATAACATAATGCATATACTCAATTACAATTATGATCTGATCTATGGTAAGAAGAATCTGACCTGTCTTGCTCCTTATTGCTTCGCTTCTTGCTTTCCGTAACCTACGAGTGAAAACTCACACGCTAAGTCTATGACTTAGTGAGGCATAAATAAACTTACTATAACATATCATTTCTAATTCCTATTATGCATACTTCATGTAATCGTAATACACTATAAAATACATTATGCATCAAAACACAAATACATACCGATACATATCATTTTATCCTTATTATTACTCTTATCATAATCATTAATCTCCTTTATCATATTACCCTTTTTATCTTACCATATATATATACACATCATGTAACAGGTATATCACTACACCAAAGAACAAACTTGTCATCATGTAATTTCTGTAACACATTTCACATTACCAAACATACATATTACATATAGTGTATTGGGTATTATTTCTTTATTAGCCCATGTACACATGTGAGAACTATAGATATGCGAGTATATTGAGGTTGTGCACTATGCTATCACCACAGCTCGTATGGGGTCCCACTAGGGGCATATGAATTTGTTCCGAATGACCACTATGAAATGTCCCGAATGACCACTATGTCCTGAAGGACCATTGAAAATCCCTCGACTCTTGGCATGCCAACTATACCTCTAGCCCTCATGACATATAACATGGGCATTATTATTTATCATTTCACATATTCATATAAACATATCACATATTCTTATAAGCTCATAACTTCTTTCACATATACATGTAATCATGTAGCTTCTTTTCAGTAGTTCAAGTCACTTTTCATATCATTCATTTATCACATATAACATGGTTTAGTATATGTTTATATTCTTTTTCACATAATCACATCTACTTCTTCTCATATATTTCATTCATAACCTCTATCATATATACATTCCTTCACTTATCTCACAGTAATGTATCATATTACATAATTTAACTTATATCATATTATCATGTGTACATATATCATGTATCATATAAACATGTATTCACACATATCATTTAACATATGCAACAATCAATAAAACACATGTATCATGTCAAACATATGCTCATATTAATGAGTTCATGCATTCTATTATAGGAAATAGACTTGTCGCAAGTCTTATTTCCATTAAACATAATACACTATCTAATATGCACTCACCTGTGCCTCACTTGCTATCAATTACTCCTATGACTTACTTTCTCTTCTTGATCAATTCTAACCTTTCAATCGTTCTGAAACTTACTCTCGATTGATATCTACACAATAATACATGGATCCATATCAGTATTCTAATTGATATACTCTAATTGTTCACTCCTTAGACTAAAAGAAATGTTGATTACATCTTTTATTTAAGATAGGCATCAATACACTCAGTAATGCATCGATACACTCCTTAACATGTGCATCGATGCACTAACTATGCATCGATACACAAATTGCATTCGATGTTTTCATTTTAAGGGGTGCATCAATACACTTCCTGTGCATCGATACACACTGAATAATTTATGGAAATTTACCCTTGATCCATCAGTACATGTTGGATGTGTACCGATGCACACTAGCCCATAATTCATTTTTAAGCCCGAAAATCACTCCAATTCTACTTAAACACTTCATATTTCATCCCCTACCATATTCTTAACTCTCATATACATACTTAAACTCATTTCTACTCATTTATCACCCTTTAAATCTCAAAATTCCTTTCTCCATATGGAAATCAATAATCATACCATTTTTTCAATATGTTCTAAATTCAATTCTATCACTTCATGTCTCTTAATTAAGTTGATGACAAGTCAAATTTATCTTCCAATTTGAGTAATGAACTCTATTCCAAGATTTCATTTGACAACTCTTAATCTTTAATCTCTCCTAACTCCACCATCCTTTGCTTTTAAGATGATTTAAGCTTTCCTTAAGCTTAATGATCATCTAATGATCATAAACCAACCTTGAATTCAACAAGAAATTAACTAACAAAAGGACTCACCTTTGCAACCTTGGTTCACGATGGAGAGAAAGAAGAAAGATGAAGAGAACTTTGGAACTCAATTTTCCCTCTTCCCACGTGGTTTCCTTATCTTATAAGGGAAAATAAAAATATTTCTTGTCAAATGATCATTTCACCCTTTACTTCATTTAATAATTACCAACAATCCCTCAAAAATATTTACAAATAAGTCTATGCACTTTACAATCTTTTAAAATCATACTTCAAAGTTTCAAAAATTTCATTTTAGTCACTAACCCTGATTTTGCGATATTACAACATAATTACACTACATATTAAATTTAATGATAGCATTAAGAATCGTGATAACGACTAAAGCAAAATCAATTAGTTTTGCACATTTATTTCCCTGAAGATTATCATGTGCGATGCGAATTTTAAAAAATAATCGTAACAAACACAAATCAAGAAACTTACCCCTTACTACTTGTGTCAATTGTTCATGACAATTACGAATCACAAATTTATGAATAGAGATAGAAAACTCAATATCGAGTTAAGTCATCAATTTAGTCAATATCAAGAATTCAGAAAAATAAGAACAAGCAATAAAGATTACTTAGATTAAAGGATAAATACTAATTTAGCACAAGCCTCACAAAATTATAGCAAAATCATTTCACCCTTAAATCGAAAATAAAAGCTTAGCCACTTTATGGTGGAATGAAAATACAAGAGGAAAAGATGAAGTTGTTTTGTCGAAGATGATCCCTAAAAGAGACTAATAAGCTCTTTATATAGAAAGTAAAATCCCTAAAAGAAAATTAAATATAGTCTAAATCAAATAAGGAAAACTAATATAAAAGAAAATCAAAATAAATAAATTCATAATAGAAAAAAGATTGATTCTTGACCATATACTTTCAAAATAATTAAATTATCCATAAAAGTGAGTTTAATCTCGAATTTGACTCCAAAAGTTAAGGTTCTTCTTATCAGACAGTAATCGTGTGTGAGTCACAAGGCGTGATCACACCTTATTGAAGATGATTTTTTGTTGAGTTTCACATTTAAAAAAAAATACTTGATTCTCATATAGAAAGCTAAAAGCACACTTTTGAGATGATTTTCATCATTGCATCCATATTTTACCTCCTAAATTAAAATAAACATAATTTCCATAATTAAACTAAAAATATAATTACAATACAAAGGATTTAATCATAAAAATATGTATATAATTATAAATTATTAATAGGAAAAGGAATTAGAGTGTTCCTAGTGAGTTTAAAACTCATAATCTTAAGAGAATATGAGAGAATCAAGATGAACAACTTGATTAACGTGTCCAATGTGTTTACTCGTATTTTTTTCAATAAATTCTAAATTTAATCTTAATCTTACCTAGAAGGAAAAATGATGAATGACTCTAGAGAGAGAAAAAAGAATATCCCTAACTAGGTCTGTAAATGAAATGAACGTTCAGCGAACCGTTCATGAACCGTGCGACAGGAAGTTCGTTTATGTTCATTTATTTATTAAATAACGAACATAAACAAGATTTTGCGTTCGTTTAATTAAATGAACGAACACGAACAAAGGGCTTGCTCGTTCATTTACGTTCGTGAACGTTCGATTATATGTTTGTTTATGTTCATTCATTTATGTTCGTTCATTTATGTTTGAACAAATGTCAAAATTAAATATATTACGAAGATTATTGAAGTTGTTTGGATTTCAAGAAGATTGTTTTGTTGAACAAATTAACTTTAAGAATTTATTATGTTCATATAGCTTATTTATGATTTGTGTATGTTTTTTTTTCGTATTCGAACAAATTAACTATAAAGTTGCAGGTTATATTAATGAATTTTAAGTTGTTATTCTTGTTGTTTACTTTTTTTACATTCATTTGTTGTGTTCGAATAAGTTTGTTTTTTGTTGTTCGTTTATTGTATTCGTTTATGTTCGTTTATCTTTTAAATAAACGAACATGAACGAACTTGAACAAACTATATTCCTTAATGAACGAATATGAACAAAAAAAATTTGTTCATTTATTTTTGTGTTCGTTTATTTATTAAATGAAATGAACGAACATAGATATACATCCGTTCGTGTGCGTTCGATTCATCTACATTCATATCCCTAACAAATCTAAAGCACATAATGAAAATAAATATAAATGAGTAAAGATAGATAAGCCTATCAAATGCGATTGGTCATACTTTAATCTTATTTGACCACTTCTTAACATGCTTTTTTACAAATCATAATTAAAATACTCATCAGTATTATATTGTCGCGTTTAATATTTACCACAATTAATATATCTTTTGATGTTATAATTAACATTAGATTAATATATGTTTGATTTGAGTGAAATCGCATGACATCACAATGAAAGTAGTAAACAAGTAATTTTGTTTTTGAAAATTCTGGGTTTGAAAGACTCTCAAATCCTGTAACCGAGGATAAAGAACCGAAGAAGAAAGCTGAAAAAGGAAAAGATTCCAACAGTCAGCTGTATCATATCTCTCACATTTCTCTTTCGGAGATCTGAATCTAAAAAGAAACACCAAAATGCAGGACCCGCCAAGTATTGACCCGAATCCCGATCCACTAATTCCCTCCAATGCGTCTTCCGCCACTCAAACGACGCCGTCCTTCCCCAACCCAACCGCATTTCGAGGCTCTTACCATAGGCGAGCCCACTCCGAGGTCCAATATCGTATCCCGGACGACTTCGATCTCGTCTCCGATCCGTTCGAAGGGTTGGGATCCGAAGACGACTTGTTTTCCCGTTACATGGATATTGAGAAGCTAGGGGGATCATCTAAGGGGTTGGAAGATGGAGGAGTGCCTTCCGGGTCGGGTCAGAACCCGAAAGGAGAGGAAATGAATGGCGTGATGGGCAAGGAAGAGAAGAGTAATGGAGGAGGGAAAGGAAGGCATAGGTATAGTAATTCGGTTGATGGGTGCTCGACAATGGAGACGATTGAAGCTAAAAAAGCTATGGCGCCCGAGAAGCTTGCTGAATTGTGGACTATTGACCCAAAGAGAGCCAAAAGGTTTGGGAATTATTTCCTTTTTTTCTCCTAACTTTCTCCGGGCTTTCTAAATGAACTTGGGTTTGGGGTGCTAAAACTGTAGTAGAACTTGGAAGTTTGTAACTTTGAATAAAAGTCTGTTTTTGTTTGTTTTCGGTAGATTGTTAGGGAAACCGATTAAAAGAAAATAATTCTTATGTTATGTAAGGAAATTTTATTTTTAGTTTTGAAGTGTTATTTTTTTTCTTCTTCTTTGGTTGGTTTTTATCCCTTTTTCTTTGGCCAGTATGATTGTTTTGTTGTTACCTTTTTCTCCCTAATGATGAAGTTGACCATTTCCCCTTGTGTTTTGGGTGCATCTGGATGGAGTTTACTATGAACTGATGTGAGGAATTTAAGAAGTTTGAACCTGGAAGTTGGAAAAACTTTTGTGAGGAGGTTAGAGTTTGAAAGAAATTGAGAGTTGGAAAATAAATATTTTTATATAACTAATCGGTGTTAACTATGTTTTTTTATAATAATTTTTACGGATAATGAATGCTACATTGCTACTTACTCATGTCTTGTTTCATGCCCATTATGGACTCATGATTGTATTTTGACAATAACTTTTAAGAATGTAATGCTTGAGTTGACCTTTCAAAACCTCTGATCAATGGGAATTTTCATTATTTTAGGGGGTTCAGTTTCAGATACCTTCTTAATTCATTTTTAGGAACCAAATTCATGTCAATTACAAGGTTTCTTTTTATGCGTGCTATTCTAGGGATTATATGTCTGTGTTTTGGCTTCTTTTGTTGATGAAATTTGCTTTTCTGAATTTTCATTACATGTTTTTGTACATGATTCTAAGATGGCATAAATAAATGCTTGATGGAATATTGAAGTAGTCAGAAATACCGAATCCAAATAGCAAAATTCTAATAGCAAATCAAATCTTCAATTGCATAATCTATTGCTAAGTACATCATTTTCTTGTATAGGGGAATGCCAACATATATGTGTAGAATTGTGTTTGTGTGTTTGCTGGTGAAAGTAAAACTTTATTCACCGTGAAAAATAATAGAAGCAGTACAGGGGGTTTTATACGAAAGGTGTTAGAGTTCTAATTGATCTAAGAGTCCTAACTAAATATACTTTATCCTTATTTACAAATAAAATTAGAGTTAGAGATGAACTAAAATATTAATATTTACAATATTATTAGAAAACTATATGAAATGACCATCCAGCTCAGTTGGTAGAGCACAAGGTTTTTAACCTTGAAGTCATGGGATCGAGTCCCACGGAGGGCATTTCATAATTTGGAGGTCTCTTACGAAAGCTGCTCTCAACCTGGTGTTGGGGGTAGCCTACTATCTTACCTCCTCTTTACCCCATACATATGGGAAAAAGGGACAGCCATTAGAAGACTATAGGGGTAGCCTACTATCTTACCTCCTCTTTACCCCATACATATGGGAAAAAGGGACAGCCATTAGAAGACTATATCTAGAGACGGTTATAACTCACAATAAGGGCTGTTTCACCATCTCTGCCGTAATGGTATAGTAATGAGGAGGTGATATTTATTGTCAGTATCGTGGAACATTTTCTCCATACATACGAACAAATTCAGCTTCCATTAATCTGACCTTGTCACTCTCTCTCCTTCTAAATGGTTGTTTGTTTTATAATATATACCCATTTATCATGCTGCACTCTGCTTTTTTTAATTGTATTGATTTTGAAGTCCGGTTTTTGACCATATTCTATGCAGTACAAAGATGTCACTTTCATGAGGTTGACTAAATATAGTGAATATCACTTGACCATAAAGAAATGACTTATGGACAGTTATGAATTTCATTGAATTCAGAATGGGAATGTTTCTACATTCACACATTTGAATTCCGTTGGCTTCATTTAAGTTTTACATTTTAGGCAAAAGAGCGGTCAAACTTAAGAACATGCAATAATGGGATGGATTATGTCATGTGCGGATGGATTTTCTATGTTTGGAATGTTCTAACCTTTTTCTCTTAATATTTAATTGTGTTTGAGAGCCTCTGAACTCTAATCTTGCCTTAAATGCATGAGCATTCTGTGAGGTGGCTAATTTAGAGCAATTCTCATCTCTCCGCTCAACTCTTCTGAAAATTTGGTGGGAATTTCCCCCCCCCCCATAGATCTGATAATCTCATATTATTTGTTCAGTTCTGTGTTTACATTCAAGTTTTTGCTAAGAAAACACAATTTTTGTAGGATCATTGCAAATCGGCAGTCAGCTGCTCGCTCTAAAGAGAGGAAAGCCCGATATATAACTGAACTGGAGAGAAAAGTTCAAACACTCCAAACGGAAGCAACTACTCTTTCAGCGCAACTAACGCTATTCCAGGTTCTTGTCAAATACATAACTGTCTTGTTACATATCTTTGGAGCTTGTTTGTTGTGGTGATTATTTGCATTTCTTATGAGAATATCAAATCTACAATTTAAACAGCCAAAATTTGGCTATTCCACTTCCTAATAAATCGATAGCTGTTTGCACCTGGAGCTTTAGTTCTTTTTTCAATCGAGAGCCTTCTTTCACTGTGGAATGTAGTTGCACATGCTTCTAACTCTCTGCTAAAGGCATCATATTTTCTGGAATTGCCATTAGTTTAGGATGCGTTCAATCTATGTTGATTTAATCTTTCTTTGATTATTACCTGAATGTTAATAGTCTTACTTGCGTTCTATTATAGAGAGATACTACAGGCTTAACTACTGAGAACACTGAGCTTAAGCTTCGGCTACAAGCTATGGAACAACAGGCTCAGCTACGTGATGGTATGTTCTGTCCAAAATTTTAGTTACCAAATTCTGTCCCAGATGGCATGCTTTCAAAAGTGTACACTCTGCACGTCCATGGACATGTTTATCTGAAGCAAGTTGAGCATAATTTACCATATCTACTCCATGATAAAAAGAAAGAAACTGTTAAGTTCAGGAGTTACGGATTGTGTCACTGGGTGATTCACGAGAAAATCTGTTTCAATTGACGAAACCTTTCCCTTGTGTGATTTATACCTTGTGAAGAACCTATGATAAAAATATATATGGTACTTATTGACGGGAGCTTCTAACCTTAGACTTGTTAGGGAGAGTAAGTGTTATATGTCTTGTCCACAAAGGCATCTGTAACAGGAAAAAAAAATTGGCCCCAGAGTAGTCAAAAGCAGGGTTGTGCATTTTAATTTTCTAGACATTACTTATTTTTTGAGAAAAACTAGATATTACTTTTAGAGCTCAAGCTTTTGGGTACCATTAATGATTATCCGTTTTCTTGGAGTTATCTAGTCGTGTTTGTATCATGTTGCTTGTATTTCATTCATAGAAAAGTAGTGAAGAGTTGTTAACTGTATACAGTTTTCTTGTTGCCCATTTCTTGCTACAGCTCTAAATGAAGCACTGAAGAAGGAAGTAGAGAGGCTCAAGATTGCTACAGGAGAAATAACATCCACAGATACCTTTAATTTGGAAATGCATCATGTAGCATACAACCAAGGTCCCTTCTTTCCTTCCCAGCCGGAGCAAATGCTAGTGGACACCCAGAATATACAAATGCCACCATTTCATCCCTTGGGATCAAACATGTTTACAACTTATCAGTCTATGGTAACTGCCTTCAATTCTCATACCTTTGCCGATATGATGCATCAGGATCCTCTTGGTCGATTGCAGGGGCTTGATATCAGCAGCAGTAGTTCCCACCTAGTGAAATCCGAAGGCCCCTCAGTTTCTGCTGGTGAAAGCAGTGGAGCATAATGATACAAATTTTGCTGGTCTACGACTTGCCCTGCTCTATTTGTTGGATTGTTCATAGACCGACCTTATTGACATCGAAAGGCACTATTTGTTTGAATTCAATTCTTTTAATGTGATTGGAATTTTAGTTTTTTTGTAGCTTTTCTAGATCTTCAGATGTTCGAGATTCTTTTGTAGTGGAATTCAATTTCCTTTTCTGTTTGGAGCAATGTTGTGGGAATAGAAGTTTGTCCTTAGGAATAGGTTAATGCTACATCGCAAGCTGGTGGCTCCCTTTGTAGTGTCATAAGATTGTTTAAAGTTGTATTGCTGGTGTGTGCAAGTCTGTAACCTTATCTGGCCATCTAATTGTAGTGCCTTGAGTTTATCAGCAGCATTTTGTGAAGAGAAAAACACTTGATTCTACATTCACAAGGTTGATCATCAATCAATATGTTAGAAAGGTGATGTTTTTCACCATTTAGAACATATAGTTGCAGTAGTACACAAACCAAGGCTTTAGTCATTAAAACTTTTTATAAGGGGTGAAGCTGCCCTACAAGCTGAGTTTCCAAATAAATGCACATGGCATGGAGTTGAGCATTTTAGTTAGAACTTGCAAGCCGACCCTAAGTGGGTCGGTTTTGTGGCTGCTATGTCGGAAAACGACTATTGAGTTCATGGTCCCGTTACCCATTGAAGTTTACATGATGACTGCTTGAAAGGGGACTAAGAGAGACAAATCTCTTGAGAAGGGCACTCCCATTGGCTCCTAACACAACAGCATTTGGATATAAAACCACATGATCCTTGTGTGGATCCTTATTTCAAGCTTTGATTTATGTCTGTCCCCATGATAAAGGCTGCAGAGTTTTATGCTCACAAATCTCAAACCTATTGATATAAAGAAAGTTTGAAACAAAAAGGGGGAAATGTGAAAAAGGGACCAAATAACTGTAAACCTTGTGATCCATGTATTTTTGTATATATTAATTGGGGAAATGTTCTTCTATCTGTGTATAAACTAAGTGGAGAAATGGACAAAAGATTAAGATAAGCTGAATATACAGTAGCAGAAAGTTATAATTCTCAATCTTCCTCCTCTTTTTTTAATATATGAAATTTGAAAACAAAAAGAGCAAACCAAAGAATTAATCAAAATCATGTGACCAATATCTCATATTTGGATGCTTTTATTTACTTATTATTTCTGTCATTCTGTGTGACATTAGAGCATGAAAACCACTGAAATTGAAATGAAAATGATAAGGGCCAAGGGACCGTGATCCCCGGAGAGCCTTGCATGTGCTTCCTAACATGGTAGGGACCCCCTTAATCTCTATTCTAATCTCTCTCTAAACCTATATTCAGCCAACATTGAGCTAATAATTGTGAAAAACTACTAATCTTTATGTTTAAAAAATTAATCACCCCCACGTACGCTGATGATAATTTCAATGATCATGAAAAATCGTATCTTTTATATTTTAGTAACGGGTATATAACTATATCAACACTACTTACCTCAAACTCGAATAACATAATTCCACATATAAAAGAACAAACCGAAACTCAAATTCTAAAGATTCTTGTATCTGTGAAGTCCAGCTCACCTCCTTCCAACATCTCCTGTATACTCACAAGCTCCATCCCTTAAAGACATCAAACACGTACAATACTGTAGACCGATTGTTAAATAATTAAGAAATATAATGTACTATTATACTTGATTTAATTAATGAAAAAGTTGTTTAGCGTTATAATTACCGACAAATAGTACTTTAAAGTCGCTATCCATATATAGACTGATGCCCATGTGTTACTCTAAAATATTAATTGTTTGCAGATATTGTTGTTTCCAGCAACATGTTGCCGATTAGCAAAAATTGACCTAACAAGCTGCCCATTGAAGTAGAAGTGTAGAACAACATGGTGTTTTTTTTAAATATAAGATGCTCATTGCTTATTTGAATTGAATGCATTGAAAGATAATATTGGCATCTTTGATTCACCTCAACCAACATTTTTACGTGTTTGACAACAAAATGGTCTAAAATGACTGCTGGTGCAATACAAATCGAGGGACTGGCGGGATATCAGGGAATTTAAGGAGAAAATTCCATGGAACTACACGAAAGGAAGGTTTAAGATAAACACAAGAGGGAGGCCATGGGAAGGGTTGATGTAAATCAATGCATGTGCAGCTGGGGGCCTACGTGTTAACCGCAACATCTGCATGTGCAGGGTTTGATCGCTGAAGATGACCCCCAAATATACGAAAATCTGTCTCATGGTCTTGCCTCTTTCTTTAACACCACAATTGCTTTCTTGTCTCTTCTTTCTATTTAAGTCCGCATCGAACCGCCTTTTCGTTTCCTATATAAACCCTTTCTTCCGTTCCTTTCTATGTCACAAACATCGAGCACCAACACAATACACTAGCGTTTCTATTTAGCTTCTCTCGAATTTTCTAAAATGGCTGTATCAGTATTGTCTGCAACTTCTCTTCTGGTGTTTGTCTTCAGTTTTTGCCTGCGAGGGGTCTTTGGTGACTATGCGGGAGGATGGCAAGGTGGCCATGCTACGTTCTATGGTGGCGGTGATGCATCCGGCACAATGGGTAAGTTTGTGGGGTAATGAAAAGTTAAACAAACTTGCTGTTTCGAGCTCTTTATTGAAGTTAATAACTTTAAATGGTGTATAACTTTTGCTGCTGCTATTTCAGGAGGTGCTTGTGGATATGGTAACTTATATAGCCAAGGTTATGGGACCAACACTGCAGCACTTAGCACTACCTTGTTCAACAATGGCCTTAGCTGCGGTTCTTGTTATGAAATGAGGTGTGACAATGACCCCAAATGGTGCCTGCCCGGATCGATTATTGTTACTGCAACCAACTTCTGCCCGCCTAACTTTGCTTTGTCCAATGACAACGGTGGCTGGTGCAATCCTCCTCTGCAACACTTCGACATGGCTGAGCCAGCCTTCTTGCAAATCGCTCAATACCGGGCCGGAATCGTCCCCATTTCATTTAGAAGGTAAAACTTGGAAAACCCTTTCACTGAATTGTGTACTAGTAGAAACAATGATTTTGAGTTCATGTGAATAAAAAATTCATGTTGGTCTAAACAGAGTCCCCTGTGTGAAGAAAGGAGGAATCATGTTTACAATCAATGGCCATTCTTACTTCAACTTGGTCCTCATTACAAATGTTGGGGGTGCTGGAGATGTCCATTCAGTATCAATCAAGGGCTCCAAAACAGGATGGCAATCGATGTCTAGGAATTGGGGGTCAAAACTGGCAGAGCAACTCTTACCTCAATGGTCAAAGTCTGTCGTTCCAAGTCACCACAAGCGATGGCAGGACCGTGACCAGCTACAATGTGGCACCTGGAAATTGGCAGTTTGGACAAACATTTGAGGGTGGCCAGTTCTAGAAGTTTCAGGACAATAAAGGGTCTTGAAATGGAAGCTTGTATAAGTAATGGCCATCGTTTGAGACAAGGGAAGGTATAAGAGGGAGAGTTAAGGGTAAGGAGAGGCCCAGCCAGCCCCATATGGTTGTCAATTGCTGAGGTGATTAATTGGCACCCGCTAGGCCTTTTTATGTATCACTTTCATTGATTCATGATCAAGGATATTTCCATTTGTTTGGCTTTTGTTTAATCATCAGAGTCATGCAATTAAATGAATCAATATTATCAAATTAAAATATGTATATGCATATACATATATATACGTATGCGTATGCGTATGCGTATGCGTGTGCGTTTGTGTATATTTATGCGTGTGTGAGTGTCCATGAGTCATAAGATGAATGTCCAATCAGCTGGCAGCAGAACTTTACCAACATAGGCAAGTGCGAAGAAAGAGCAACAGCTACCAATGGCAGACAAGAGCCACAAACAAATCACAACCTGTCAAATGAGTGGTAAAAAGAGTGAGCTTGATCGTTGATTTTGTTTCCCTTTGTTGAAGTACAAGTTATATATAAACTGACCATTAGAAAAGCTGAAAATCTTGGCCAATTGTAATATCATGAGCCATTAGAAGCACATTATTGATTCGAACACGACATGATGCTGCGGCAGTGTTAACCGTTTCCTCTGACAATTCGAGTTCCGGTAACCTTTCCAGTTGCCTGATTAAATAATAGACAGACACCATTGTTGAAAACAGCTTCAGTATTTGAAAGGAAAATAAACACAAAGTGGCAATGCTAGTCTTACCTATTTCTGTAAGCAGCATGGTTGCCATGGATGAACAGCACCGCAATTAGTATCAGCAAGACATCCAAACAAATAGGTAACATGAGAGCATGAATTAATTATTTTATCACACAAAACAAATGCACTAGTATTATAAGGATGATAAGATAATGAGCCAGAGCAACAATATCATACCACAAAACAAGATTTCCCCAGCATCGTACTTGTTAGTGATTTTAGTAAGAGAACGTTAGCAGAGATTATTGTTATGAAAACACAAATTATCACATATGAAAACAGAGACAAATAATGATTGAGAATATATAATTGAGTGAGCAGAGGTGAAATGGAAGTTTACTTTCCAAGGATAGTATACCATCAGGGAAAACTTGATTCAGTTTTAGCTATATGTCCATCCACAACTTGGAGTTGACATTAATGTTTTGGTAAAGTTCACGTTAGTTTTTTTGGTCGGGCTCTCTCTCTCTCTCTCTTAACAATCTATATTCTTTATGTGCCAACTTAAATCTTTTTAAAATTATAATTTGTCTTGTCATTACACTCAATCTTTATTAGTTGTACCCCCAAGAAAAAAAAAACTAGAGAAAGTAAGTCGGTTTCATTGAAAAACAAGACCAAAGACGAGGGGAAGCGTTCTTGATACCTTTGCCACCATCCAAAAATCGGTGAAGAGAACCTTGAAGACCAAACAAACGGTAACCATCTGAGGATGCCATTGTTACCCGAATTCTCCATTAATTGCAATGATGCAATGCAATCCGCGACCTTTTTCAGCTTTTTAACTTGTACCCATAATTGAAAACCTCAAAATTTTCGAATCTTGCGTCGAGTTTTCCCCTTATGAAACCAAATTACAGGGTTGCAGTTCTGAGTTCTCTCACAGAGTTGATGAGCAAGGGAGGAAAAGAAGGGGAGGAAAACTACTTTTCAATTTATTTTGTTTTGGGAAGAAAAGAAACTTGGGTTATCTGTTTTCACCTCTATCACATTTAATTTGTTCAACTAAAACATGATATTGACGATAAGCATATGTATGTATTATGGGATAACCACAAGCATGACTTCAAAAAGAAATTAACTGTTTTTATTCTGGATTATTTTCCGAGC